GGACTTTTCGGAATATTTCCGCACTTTTCGGAATATTTGCGTTGAGACAAAACAATCAGGTCGCATATTATCAGAGGGAACTCTTTTATCGGATATCCTGTAGAATATTAAAAAAACATTTCATAATGCACAGTGAATGATCAATTTGACGAGACAGCAGCCTTTTCACAAGCCGAAACGCGTTGTTGCCATCGCACGGGATATCGTTCCATTTCCCAATTGCAGCCGCGCCCACCCAACCGTTCTTCGGATCGATGTACATCTGAATATTCGAAGGTAACCAAAGAAAGCGAGAGATCGAGAGAGAGAGCGTGAGAGAGCCAGCGAGAGAGAAAGTCTGAAATCTACCGCAATGCAGAGGTGAGCGCTAGCATTGACGTCACTCGGCTCGTTCACGTTGAAATTTTGGTAGTAGAGCTTGGCGCCATTGGCCGCGATCAGGGTCGACGAGTTTGCCTAGGTCTTTTAATCGCAAAAATCAGATCACTTGCGGAAGACTAACAAGCCCAAGCCCAATTATGCCCAAACTTTAGAGAATAAGACCTACAACCCGTCTCATCCCGTACAACAGTCCTCCGCCGTTTGTGTTGGTTTTGAGATCGATCTTTGCCAAATCAGCATTTATATATCTTAGACAAAGGCTGCCTACCGCGAATAAACTCGTTTTCCTCGTGACTGTTTACGGAAACGAGGGTTGACGCGATTTTTTTGCATCTATCGGCTGCTTCTTCGTAAACTGCATTATTGATAAGCTAGACACAAATTTTGTTGAGGTTGTGGAGGATAGGAGGAAAGAGAGAGAAGGAGAGAGAAAGAAAAAGAGACCGAGCGCGAGAGAGTGCCGTTACCTACCAAATAGCATTTAGAAAACTTTTTCCAATAAAGGCATCCGGGCGGACATTCCTTGAACTTCTTCCGCGTTCCATAAGCTATCATTTGGCGGTTTGTTAGGCTTCCGCAAGTGATCTGATTTTTGCGATTAAAAGACCTAGGCAAACTCGTCGACCCTGATCGCGGCCAATGGCGCCAAGCTCTACTACCAAAATTTCAACGTGAACGAGCCGAGTGACGTCAATGCTAGCGCCCACCTCTGCATTGCGGTAGATTTCAGTCTTTCTCTCTCGCTGGCTCTCTCACGCTCTCTCTCTCTATCTCTCGCTTTCTTTGGTTATCTTCGAATATTCAGATGTACACCGACCTGACAAACGGTTGGGTAAGCGCGGCTGCAATTGGGAAATGGAACGATATCCCGTGCGAATGGCAACAACGCGTTTCGGCTTGTGAAAAGGCTGCTGTATCGTCAAATTGATCATTCACTGTGCATTATAAATTGTTTATTAATATTCTACAGGATATCCGATAAAAGAGTTCCTTCCAATAATATGCGACCTGATGGTTTTGTCCCAACGCAAATATTCAGAAAAGTACGGGCACTTAACGGTCTTTGGAAACCAACGAGTCCGAGAGAGGTTACAGAACAACAACTTCCTACATAACAACTATCCTGGCTTACCGGCATGCGTTACAGTAGCTCTCGAGCTCCAACCAACTTCTCAAGTTCAATTCGACTCTCTTTCTCTCTCTGCCTTCGGTACCGAACCTAATCAGCACAAACTTGAGCTTGACATCAACATAATTACGGGTCTGAATAGGTATCCAGCGCAATTGCTATATTTTCGAGGCCAAATTTTTTTGCCCGCCAGCCCTAATTGGTTGGTTAAAAATCGGCACCGGAGCTTGCGTTAAATTGGCGCCTTATAAAGACCATGGCACTTGGTCTGAAATTAGAGTCCTTCCGAAGTACTGTGGCAGCATTTCAAACGCTCCCCTACCCAGCCATTTAGCGTATTTTGGGGAGCGTAAAGGCCAAGCAGTAAGCGTAACTATATAAACTATGTAGCAGCTGCTGACAGAAGCTATTAGCAGCCTTTCCTCTCATCGCATAAATGGGGCGCTGCCGCGTTTAAACCAGGAAATAGCGCTTCTCAACTGTTTCTAAGTCGCCGTCTCACTCTCTCTCTCTCGCCCTTTCAACTGACAAACACTTGATTATCATGATCTTTGATTTTAATAGGCATCCAAAACATTGCTTTTACTTTCAAGATGGTGTCTTTTCATTGACGGCCATAATTGGTCGTGGTTATTTAAAGGGCTATTGAATCCTGCCCCCTCCGCATGAAATTAGAGGTTTTCGGAAGCACTGTGGCGGCCTTTCCAAAAACCTCCACTCTCCAATCATCTAGCCCGTGATTGGGGGTGTACAAATCGCGCATGGGTGTAATTATATCATCTAACCAGCGGATTACAGCCGCTTAGCGACTGTAATCGGCTGGCCTTCGGGCTACCCTCCATATTCTACACCGCCACGCTCCTTCCCTACCTTTATCAATACCCACGCTGATGGCTTCAGACACCCCCCCGCCCCTCCCCCCCATTACCAAAATCTCCTTCAAAAACTACCTAAATACTTTCTGATGGCTTCAGATACTTTAAATGATTTAAATAATGAATTAAAATAAATAAAAGGTATTAAAACAACTGAAAAAAAAGTTATCTAGGCCTGGGGAAGGGATGCTGGGCAAGGGGGCCCCACTCGTTTTATTAAGGCGCCACTTTCAAAGTTAATTAGTTTTATTTAAACAGAAACTTTTTTTATAATTTTTGATCAATGAAGGAATTTCTGACCATGCTCTATCCGAATCCGAAGAGACCTAAGCTCTAGCTCCTTCCCCCTTCGAGTTATAGTTCACTTCAGACAGACGGACGGACGGACGGACGGACGGACGGACGGACGGACACCACAACAAAATTATTATAGTTGATAGGTGCTATTAGTGGAGCTACTAGCAGTTTTTTACCCTCATCGCATAAAAGGTCTCCCCAAACCGGCCTCGATGCCGAAAAAAATATGTGTGAAAAAGGCCCAAAATGGCCTACTTTCGGCATCTATAAAATAGAGCAGAATAAGTTCCACGAAAATTAATTAGTGCATCTTGCTCAGAAAATCACGCTCTTTCGAATCAGCCATCTCATGAAACAAGTTCGAACATTTTTTCAAAAAGATTAATTTAGACGACATGGTCCCCCATGTGAAATTTCCGCAATTTGACGAAATTTTGAAATTTCCGCGTGACATGGCTCATTCGAAAGAGCGTAATTTTCTGAGCAAGATGCACTGATTAGTTTTCGTGGAAACTTATTCTGCTATGTTTTATAGGTGCCGAAAGTAGGCCATTTTGGGCCTTTTTCACACTTCAAACCCTTATAACTTTGGTTTTCCGGTCGTTTCGCAAATTCTACAAAGTACGTTTTAATCAGCAAAAAATTCTGCACAAGATAGGCTAGGTCCCGTTCCGAAACTCCGTGCCCACCTAAAAACGTCTCCTTGTAAGAGCTTTTGTTTTAACTAAAAATATCCTACTATATATAAAAAAATAGTGTTTGTTTGTGTGTGTGTGACACTTTGCATGCAACTTCCGTCAGGGTGTCCGGTGGATATCTCAAGGGGGGAAGGTATTAGGCTACGTATGATACGTCATTAGGAGCGTAATGGTCTGGAGATGACTGCACGCATATCCGATTTTGCAAATTATGCTTTTTTCAACATTAAAAATCATTTTTTGTTGAAAAATCGGGCAGCCTCTTTGTTAGGCATTAATTAGCATAACACGGAAGTTGCGGCAGCCTATATAACGGCGGAGAGGGTGCACTTTTCATTGTTTCTCATCGAAATTCGGTTGAATTATGCAATGTGCAGGATACATGGGTTCAGACGGGGCCAGGGTTGAAAGTCGCGAAGCGGCTTTTCAACCCTGTTGTAATATAAAAAAGTTATAGCCAAAACAAGAAAAACTATTGAAGCTGGTGCCGGAATGTTAGTTTTTCGGGATTTTGCCAGTTTTTTGATATATTGACTCCAGCATTCGATAGAGCATCAAAAAATATACGCAGAGTTTTAATCCTACTATATATAAAAAAATAGTGTCTGTGTGTGTGTGTGTGTATGACACTTTGCATGCAACTTCCGTCAGCGTGTCCGGAGGATATCTCGATAGGGGATGAATTGTTAGGTATGTATGATACGTCATTAGGTGCGTAATGGCTCTGGGATGACTGCAAGCTTATCAGATTTTGCAAATTATGCTATTTTCGACATTAAATTTAGGTTTTTGTGAAATTTTCGGGCATCCTCTTTGTTAGGAAACAATTTGCATACGCCGGAAGTGGTGGTGGTCTATATTAAGGGGCAGAGGGAGCGTTTTTCATTATTTTTTCATCGCAGCCCGGGCGAATTATGCAAAGTGAAGAATATCATGGGCCCAAACGGGGCCAGGGTTGAAAAGTCGCGTAGCGGCTTTTCAACCCTGGTTTCATCTAAAAATATTGTTTTATAAAATAGTTATAGCAAAAAAAAGGTAGATACGGTGTTTCCACATGGGATCGTGGAGTCGAAAGCTAGTTTTCGACATTTCCGATGTTTTTCAAAAAAATCCTTTAATGCCATTCGATAGAGCGTCAAAAAATATACTAAGAGTTTTAATTAAAACTCAAAATAGCATCATATGAAAGAGTATAACAAAACGAGGAACATCCCCCCGCGAAATTTGGCCGGACTTTTCGAGATAGTCTTTTGCCTAAACTTTGAAAACGAGCCTCCAGGAGTACGACACCCTGGCATCAGCTTCAATCCGTTTAAACATTCGTTGCGTTCGAAGACCGAGGGCTGGCACAATATGGGTCTGGATTGGATCCTGCGAGCCATTGTCATCGTAATGTCCTTCCTTTCTGCGGCGTTTGATCTGGTGACTTACTTGAGAGTGCGCCAGCAAATGGTGAGCGCCTTTCGTACCATAATAATTGACCAGAATTTAGCGTATCACCCATGGATCAAAAGCTCAAGCAAAAGGCGATGGTGCCAATCGTCCGGATATACGGTTGGCAAAGCAGGTAGGTGGAATTTGATTAGCTACTTTCATAGCGTTCTATACTGCTCATAAAGATCAAAATCGACAAAAGAGTACCACGATGTAAGAAGATTATTTAGACTTTGGTGGAAATTGATCAGAATTGTCATAGATTAAACCGGTAAAAGGGAAAATTCGGAGTGCCCCGATAAAACTCCCATGCGGCAGTTTACCGCCTTACATCCGATCGGTCGCGAAAATGAAGCAAGTTTTTGTAAAATAAATAACAAAAATGATGGCTCACACAGGAACGGGGCGGGGAAAGAGAAAAGGAGGAAATTCAATATGGCTCTGTCGGGGAAGGGAGGGGCGCACAAGAGAACGGAGCAAGGGTAGTGTGGCGTGTGTCGCGCAATGTGGCCTATCCAACTAGGATTGGCTTACCAATTTAGCTCAACGTTTAAACTTTTCGGAGGGCTCCCATCGGGCCTCTGTTTATGGCCGGATCCACCTTTGGTCAAATTTTGGGACCGATCGGATGCAAGGCAGTGGTCCAATGTTGTTGGGTCGTATTTTGGGGCAGCCGGTACATGCGAAGCACGGGATCTAGCGTCGAAGGTCCGCGCAACGGTTTTTGGGCGCGCCCGAAAAACGGTGCATGGACAACTCGCCGACATGACCGAGTTCTCCGATGCTTCATAACCCGCCTGCACCCCCCTTCTTCCGTTCCTGCCTTGGCCTAGTGGTGTAAAGCGCTTGCTTCAGGCTAGCCATGCGGGTTCGATTTTGCCCGACCTTTAGCACCTACCCTTAAATTGCATTGAAAGTGTGAAAGCAAATCAGTGAAAACTTGGTGTAATCAAAATTCTGTCGACCCTAGGATACTTGAAAATGTCGGCGAGTTGGCTGTCGGCAGGTTGACTTGTTGGCGAGTTGGCTGTCGGCGAGTCGAAGTGTCGGCGAGTTGGCTGTCGGCAGGTTGACTTGTCGGCGAGTCGAAGTGTCGGCGAGTTGGCTGTCGGCAGGTTGACTTGTCGGCGAGTCGAAGTGTCGGCGAGTTGGCTGTCGGCAGGTTGACTTGTCGGCGAGTCGAAGTGTCGACAGGTTGACTTGTCGGCGAGTTGGCTGTCGGCGAGTCGGGAGTGTCGGCGGAGTTATTTGTCGGCAGGTTGACTTGTCGGCGAGTCGGCTGTCGGCGAGTTGGCTGTCGGCGAGTCGAATGTCGGCGAGTTGGCCGGAAATCCCGAAAAACAATGTAGTTGAAAGATGTATGTCGTATTGGAGGCACCAGCAGTTTAGATCATCGTGAACCAAGCGATGAACGCCTTGCTCGCCGTGCCAACGGTATATTTCTACTGTCTCGAATTTGTTGGCGCGCCGACGCTAAACCCGGTGTTACGACGGTCCATGCTCATGCAAAGTCTCTATTATGAGATTGGGACAGTATATCTTCCTATCTTGGCGAATGTTGTCACCGGGTAAGAGTGTACCGTACACCGATGTAAGCTGCACAACCAGGGTTGTTAGACAGGGGGATACAAATCCGCGTTCTGCCCGTAATCTATTTTTACCATAGTTCAGCAACTAACAAGGAGATGGTCTCAGCTCGGAATCGAATTCGGATTTAAAAATTTGCACACTTATAGAGCTCGACGAGACAAATCGATTGGTGTAACTTTCAGCTGCTGATACAACAACCACGCCGAGTTATAAGCATTTTAATTTTTTGCATACATTTCGCAATGCTTTCGCCAAAGATTCATAGGCCTTCCCCGCCTCCCCCATCACCGTGGTCTGGTGGCCTAGTGGTGTAGTAGGCGCCCTCCGGGGAATCTAACGAGGGTTCGAACCCGCTCACGATTTTGTTTTTTGCTTTTTTGTCCGAAGGTTCCACTTTTCTTCCTGAAGGCCTTGAATAGCTTTTTACGCATTATTTTAACACATCTGATGCGCAGACAACATAGACTTCACCGTAAAAAAATTTTCTTACTGGGCATGGAGCCCTTGTCCAACAACCTCTGACTATACTTTCCAAAAGAATTTTCGCTTATGAAAGTTTTTGTTCGGATAACACACCATTTACCGTAAATTACGTTAACTCCTCGATTTTTCATATGCTTTGAATTTTCAATTTATTTTGGGACCTGCATAGTCATTTCGGGTAAAAAATATAATTTTTTTGGAAGAGATGTTTTTAACCATTTCTCACCAGAGGATTTAAAATAATGCGTAAAAAGCTATTCAAGGCCTTCAGAAAGCAAAGAGGAACCTTCGGACACAAAAGCAAAAAATAAAAATCGTGAGCGGGTTCGAACCCTCGTTAGATTCCCAGGAGGCCGCCTACTACACCACTAGGCCACCAGCCCACGGTGATGGGGGAGGCGGGGAAGGCCTATGAATTAATGGCGAACCTATTGCAAAATGTATGCAAAAAATTAAAATGCTTATAACTCGGCGTGGTTGTTGTATCAGCAGCTGAAAGTTACACCAGTCGATTTGTCTCGTCGAGCTCTATAAGTGTGCAAATTTTTAAATCCGAATTCGATTCCGAGCTGAGACCATCTCCTTGTAAGCTTCGAATTTCCAGACTAGCTACCATTTGGCATCGAAAATGATTTGCAACCTTTAGATAGTGATGTAGAAGAAAAAAATGTAGAAGATAGTGACGGGGAAAATGATCATGGTGAATGTAGAAAAACCAGCGCTAGATTTTCTTGTAAATACACAACTTTGCTTGTCTTGGTTTTGAAGGTTTTGGCTTGCTGGTTTCTCGCTAATGGTTTTCCGTTTCAGATGTGTTACCATCCACTACTTCAAGCCAAAGACGAATAATGCTGGAAAAGGATGGAATAGTTCCTTCATTCCATCAATGCCCTGGCAACGTCGGGTAAGGGGGACCAAGCCGGGAATTTAATACTGACACGAGTATGCTTACTGCGAAAACATGGTCGAAATGTGCACAAACTTTTGGGAAAACAATACTTGTTTGACGATCACGTTTTTCATTTACAAAACTTTGCTTTCAAAATTCGGCGATGAATAGTTTTTATGGGTCGCGAGCGCTGGTACAAATTGTAAGCCAATTGGCGAGAATATGGTGGGGTTTAGGGCACCCTGCAAGCCCGATGACTCAAACGAATTAGGAGGCAACCCACAAAACCCCAATTTAAAATACATTTTTCCGCCGGAAGAAATTTTCTCTCTCGACATGTCTTTGATTTGCCGGCAGCCCCGATATCGGATTTACAGGGTGGCGATTCATTACCTGCGTGTCGCTTTTTCCCCAAAAATCAGGCTTTAGATTTTCTTTGATAGAGTGGTTTTACTATATTGGTGGTTTTTTAGTTGCATCCTATCCAAATTTTAACCGGGTTAAACAATCACGAAAAACTACGAGCTAAGAACCATAAATTCCGGCTTCACAACGCGCATCCTGATCGCATGGGCACACTTTTGAAGCCTACTGTAGCCATGGGAGGTAGCTAATCTTTTCCGAAACGGCTCAGATATGTTGCACGCTTCTTTTCAAACGTAGTAAGCGCTCGAAAACCGACCTAAGTCAAAAGATAAAAAAGATACAGTATCGAGAAGGACATAGGTCAAATGGAAAGGATAAGATAAGGCATATGTATATCATGTTTTCAGCACACAAACGTGACGACGGTACCGTCGATCTCAGAGCCGAAACGGTCAGGAACGTACTGAATGGCCGCAATTTAACCGGATTCACATTTAATGCATTGTTCATTTGACCAATCACGCCGTTTCATCGATAAAGCAGCTGCAAACTTGGAATTGCGACTGACAGAAAACAAAAATAAATAAAATAATAGTCGAGGTTGACAGTGGGAAGGGGAGGATGATTGAGGAGTGTGAGCTAGCGATTCGCCGCCGAAACCACTGTGGATAATCGGGAAAAACGTTATTTTGTTTGGAACTGGAGATCTACTGTAGCGCATGCCGGTAAGCCAGGATTGTTGTTTTGCAGGATGTTGTTGTTCTGTAACTTCTCTCGGACTCTTTGGTTTCCAATGACCGTTAAGTGCCCGTACTTTTCGGAATATTTGCGTTGAGACAAAACAATCAGGTCGCATATTATTGGAGGGAACTCTTTTATCGGATATCCTGTAGAATATTAAAAAAACATTTCATAATGCACAGTGAATGATCAATTTGACGAGACAGCAGCCTTTTCACAAGCCGAAACGCGTTGTTGCCATTCGCACGGGATATCGTTCGATTTCCCCAATTGCAGCCGCGCCTACCCAACCGTTTGTCAGGTCGCTGTACATCTGAATATTCGAAGGTAACCAAAGAAAGCGAGAGATCGAGAGAGAGAGAGAGAGCGTGAGAGAGCCAGCGAGAGAGAAAGACTGAAATCTACCGCAATGCAGAGGTGGGCGCTAGCATTGACGTCACTCGGCTCGTTCACGTTGAAATTTTGGTAGTAGAGCTTTGCGCCACTGGCGGCGATCAGGGTCGACGAGTTTGCCTAGGTCTTTTAATCGCAAAAATCAGATCACTTGCTGAAGCCTAACAAGCCCAAGCCCAATTATGCCCAAACTTTAGAGAATAAGACCTACAACCCGTCTCATCCCGTACAACAGTCCTCCGCCGTTTGTGTTGGTTTTGAGATCGAGCTTTGCCAAATCTGCATTTATATATCTTAGACAAAGGCTGCCTACCGCGAATAAACTCGTTTTCCTCGTGACTGTTTACAGAAACGAGGGTTGACGCGATTTTTTTGCACCTATCGGCTGCTTCTTCGTAAACAGCATTATCGATAAGCTAGACAAAAATTTTGTTGAGGTTGCGGAGGATAGGAGGAAAGAGAGAGAAGGAGATAGAGGGAGAAAGAAAGGGAGAGAGAGGGAGAGACGGAGTGCGAGAGCGTACCGTTACCTACCAAATGAAATTTAGAAAACTTTTTCCAAAAAAGCCATCTGGGCGGACATTCCTTGAACTTCTCCCGCGTTCCATAAGCTATCATTTGGCGGTCCGTTTTATCGGCGAGATCAATGTAAAATGATCTGACATTTGGTAGCTGACATTTGGTCGCATAGGTCCAGGGCTAGTTCTTGTTTAACATAGTCCGCGATTTTTAGGGTCCCACGGATAGGGTGAAGGGCTGCAAAATTTGGTCATTTGGCAAAGGTAAAAGTCTGCATTTGTTTGTAGCGATGAATCTTTAGCGAAGACACTGCTACCTGCAATACCGGAGTATAAAATAGATATAAAGGCTTGATCCGATCGAATACGCAATGAAGATCAGCGCCAAGAGCTGAAAGATGCGTAGTTGAAAGTCCCTGACCGCGCACGTGTGCCTAGAGTTACATTTATATTTAATGGTTGATTTTGAGACGTAACTATTACGTCCGCTGATTTAAAAACTTACGGTCGCCGGCAGACATGCGCCCCTTGCAGTTGTTCCATTTCGTGGTGGCCCTAAACGGAAAAGCACATTTGATTTTTTTTGGAAGATCAAGTGCCAATTTTCTTGTTTTTATGGGCAATAAACAAGTGGAGGATTGCTGATGAACACAAGCCCGGCCCGAGGCCAAGAGTCAGGGGTGAAGATCGTTTTCGGGCGGTTGTGTAGGAAATTCCGCGCGTTTCGTACCTATCACAAGTGACAAGAAATTTAAACTAATCGAAGGCAAAAATATATTGTAATACTAGTCCAAAAGTACTAAAGTAGCGTATTTTCCACAATAAATCAAACAAATGCAAATTAAAATTGGTGAAGTGATATATGTCCTGTAAAAAAGCTGGTTCTTTAGGATTTCCTGGGGGGGGACCAAGTTTTTTTCTGCATAAGCCTAAATTTGCTTTTATAGATAGCGGATCCGTTTATAAATGGTTCTTAATTATTCACAAGCAGAAAAACTACAAATTTTAATTAAAGACTTTAGCTTTAGTTCGAAAAATCCGAAAAAAGACCCAAACCGGCCAAATTTTCGACTTTATCAAACACTTTTCTAACTTTTTAGAAGGTTTTTCTACTTTAAATATAGTTAAAATTTACTAAAAACAAGGTGAAAACACTTTATATATGATTACTAGGTCAACGGGAACCCGGACAGCCAGGAAAAAAAATTCGTTCCCCGGAAATCCTAAAGAACCAAAAAGATTTTTGTCTTTCAGTCCAGCGTTCTGCTATTTCGAGCATCTCTTTTTTTATCTTTTTTTATTCTCTTCTGGGCGTGGGAGGCTTCAATTACTTTAGGACTCGGAATTGAATTGACATTTCGCAAGTTTCCTCGCCAAGCAACCAAAAACAATTGGGGCGGCCGTATCCCGGGAAAAGCTCATCGTATTATATCGCGATGTGATGGGTCCGTTGAAGCATTCCGGAACATAGTTCGCAAGAGATCATGATGAGCTTCCGGCCTAATCAAAATACTAGCATAATTCTTGTCATATTCATTAAAATTTTTGATACTACCGACCTAACATCGGTCGATTATGCTCTCGTCGCT